GTATTAGTATAGTCGACTTTCAGAGTTGCGTTGTGGATCTGATCAGAGCTGCTATATGAGAACTGCTTTCAGAGTCGCTCTCGGAAACCATGAGAGTTGCTCATCAGAGAACCTTCAGTGTTGTTCCTCAGAGACTCGTCAGAAGTCTACATCAGAAAGACATCAGAGTTCGATGAAAAAGCTTCTTCAGAATCCAACTCCGGAGAAGCATCAGAGCTCGATGTATAGCTTCATCAGAACTCAACATCAGACAAGCATCAGAGTTCCCACACCAGAGCTCGACTTAAAACTACATCAGAACTACTCATCAGAAAGCCATCAGAATCCAACGTATCAGAAGACCCCAATCAGAGTCCGACTAACACTTAGAAGAATTTCAAGGCTACTTCCAACGGCTGGGAAATTCATCAACGACTAGTAGATATTCCGTCCAAGGAAAGTATTTAATGCTCATTAAATGAGCCTGATACAGTTTGGATTGATTGCAAATGATTGACCGAGAAATCTGGAAGATATATTATAAAAATAGAAAGCTTCCAAACCAGTGGTCAAGTCAACAATACGTGCATTTAATGCAGTTGTCTCCTCCTCCAACGGGCAGACAACCCCAGTATATAAGCTACTCACCGAAGAACAGAAAAAGAACTTTGCTACAACTTTTGCTCATCATAATTCAAGCTTACTTGAGATTCAAACTTCGAAATCATCATCAAGACAAGCTTACGTTGGGAAGATTAAAACTCTCATTTTCCAATCCCAACACACAGCAAAGTTCATCCTGTCCTTCAACCTTCAAGTACTTCAACTACATATCTTTTGTAACGAAGCAAGTTGGAGAAAACTCTGTTTTCAGAACATCTTCTGCAAAGAAGGGCGTCCAAGTAACTGCAGTAGTGAAGTGGTGATACTTCCGGGAAGCTGAGTGAAAGGACCAGTCATCAGGAAGCAGGACTGCATCCCGGGTGACAACTAGACTTGAAGAAGGCGTGGAGAACTTCTTAAGTGCTAGGGACTAAGGCGTTGTAATTGATCCTTACAAGCTTAGTGGAACAGTGGACTAGAGGAACGCGTTGTTCCTTGAACCACTATAAAAACTCCGGTGTCATTTACTTTACTGCATTTAATTTCTGCACTTAGGATTTTAACTGTTTAACTCTAAGACTTGGAATCTGTGTTCAGCAGATCTTGTTTTCAGAGTTATCAGAAAGGCACTTGCCTTAGTATTTGTTTGAGGCTACCCGGAACTCTTATCCGCTGCAAGACCAGTTCTGATTATCAGAACTCGACCCTCTCTGATAAGTCAACTCTGACTTAGAGAAAAGTTGAAAAACTTGAATCAGTCTATTCACCCCCCCCCTCTAGACTGATTACCAACTCAAACGGGACCAACAATAGCCTACTGTCATCCATGACAGGTTGTTCGGGATTAGCCCCTTCGGGATCCGAAGATTCGTCTTGATTGGGAGCTGAAAAAGCAAACAAAGGAAAATATTAGTACCGAGCGGTTCGCACGTGGATGGACAAAATGTTCTTCACACGGGAAGGACTGCCCGGGCCATGGTACTTGGTTTTCAGTCAAGTAAGTCCAGGAATACGGGCAGTACCCATCCCGACCTTGATGAGCCGTGCAGGAGTCAGGTAGGTCATAATCTTGTACGAACCACCATGCTCCACGGCGATGATATCTTTACTAAGGTCTTCGGAAATGAATGGCTCAGGGGATTTCGGAGGGAAGGCGTTCCATTTCATCGGAATTAGGCCGTTCGGAACGGAGACGAAAAAGAACCGATCTTTCCAGCCCTTGATCGAGGAAGGGGCATCACAGAACAAGATATGCCCCGTTCGGGCGCTCACTACTTGAAACCCGTGGGCCTGCTGAGGGATGACCGAAAAGAAATAATGGAAAAGCTCCAGTGTGGGCGTCACCCCCGCCTCCACACAGCGACAGGTGAAGCCGGCCACTGCTCGATAGGATTTGGGCATAATTTGGGCTGTGACTACTTGGTAAAAGTTTAATAAAGAAACAAAGAAGGGGTGGAGTGGGATCTAAGACCGGCCTTAACCGAATCGTAGTGGACTACAACCATCCCGGGGAGGTGACGCATCGGATGGAGCCTGGCCTGGAGGCGGAAGTCCACCGAATCGGGGATCAGCATTTGGATTTGGGCCCTGTTTTGGGCCGTGAGCTTTTGCCGCCTAAACCTAATAAGCGCTAGGTCAAGTTTGTGGCAGGGAACGCCGCTTGGAGGACCGGCTTCCATAACTTCCAGTTCATCTCCGGATTTGGTGCCATCGGAATAAGTCCGGGAGGAAGAGGCATCATCATTAGGGACATCCGCAGGGATGGGAGCAATTTCTCTGGCAATATCAGGGTTTCTCTCTGGGGAAGCAGCAGTAGAAGTGGAAGGTTCGGTGGAACGAAGACGGGGCACCATGATGACCGAACAAGGAAGAGAGGAAGGGAAAACAAAGGCTAAAAAATACTTGAACACGCACCGAGGAAAAGCTCTAGAGAGAAGGTAGAGCAACAAGCCGAAGAATGCAAAGTTTCGAAACCCAGAATCAAAGCTGGAGAAGCCTATTTATAATCTGACACGCCGATTCGACAGCCAATCAGAGAAGAACACGTCGCCAGTAATGATGACGGGGACACGTGTCACGCGGAGAATCCTCCCCAAATAATCATGACGGTTATCGGGAAATTAAAACGGCAGCTGCATAAAACCGTCAAAATATACCTCGGGAACTGGCGGAATACCATCTGATACATACCCGAACAGCATTCGGGCAATAATCTTCTACTTCCTTATGCACTCACTACCGTTCGAGACATAGGAAGTGGGGGAATAGTGTTGGGATATTGGGTCCAGGACCAATACCCCCGGCCCAAAGTATGAGGAAACCAGGAGGAAACAGAAGGCCCAAAGCAGTCCAGACCCGTTCAGCGTTCGGCACATTACTTACACTTGGAACATTTCGGGGAATAAACTACACCCGCATTCTTGACGGGGTGCCACACACCGAGCGGCGTTCGGGATATTGGCTCTCAGGACAACACTGACGGGATATCCCAATATCGAACACCCTACCCGAACGGGTAATCAGCAAGTGGAGGCCGCATTTAATGTTGAAGCATGGCGACAGCAAGTGGAGGCATGGGTGCATACGTGGCAGGGGGCATAGCCTACCAGATTCAGCCACGTGTCCAGCTTTCCCATCCCCATTTTAGTATAAATACCTGCATTGAATACATTGTAAGGGGTTAGCATTTTAATATTCAGAGCTTAGCAACTAGAAACACTTCTCTTATTCTTGTATTCTTGTACTTACCTACCGTTCGGGTAATTTCAGTGTAATCGCAGAATTACTGAATGCAAGTGGGCTTCTGAGTTGAACAATATCTCACTGTTTTATATTTTATACTCTTTCCAAACCAAGTTAACATCCCCACAATATCCAGAGCTTGTGTTGGGCTTTCGGATCTTCGGGAATAAACCTCAACAGTTCTATTAAAGAATTTTAGGGTTTAAAATATAATGAGTAAAAACACGTAATTATGGCGGGCTACAGTTTGACCGAAGATAGAAGATCAATCACAACGGCACTGATGGTCTGGTCGGCTCCTGAACTACCACCATGGGTTGGACGAGATGCTAGGGTTCAAGAAATTTATCATATTAATTACTCCGTATTTTTATTTTGTTGTTTGGTTTCTTGTTAATGTCTGTGTTGCTAGCAAAATTAGTCACTTAACTTTAGTCCCGTAACTTTCAACACTTTTCATTATTAGTCCCGTAACTTTAGTCACTAGCAAAATTGGTCCTATAACTAATTAATATTTACGAATTAAGAACATTTTCAAAATTGGTCCTATATGCACTTTTACTACTAATGAGTATACTATTTCACATTTTGGTATAGTACTTTCCCAACACGGTTTTTGATCTATTTCATTCATTTTCAAGTAATCAAGGACTCAGATCACTTCTCATTTTTCATAGGACGATCTCTTTGTATGAGAACATACCCCTATATATAAAAACACAAGCTATTAGGGATCAAAGACAAGCACTTCCTAATTTACAAACTACAAACTCATATTGATCATCCGATGAGTTGATCTGTATAGGCTATAAATAAAGGCACATTGTAACTTTTGTAATAAAAGCTATCTTTTTAAGAATGCAACTCTTTGGACGTTAATATGTATATGCTATTTTACATGAATAATATGCAACACTTTAACCTTCAATATGCAATACAAATAACGTAAAGATATGTTGGGCCCAAGAATTTCAATTCAAGATTGGGCCGCTGATTAATATAAGTGTGTTGGAGCCGGGATTCGACTGACTGATGGGCCATGGACTGGTGTGGATATTAAAGGATGAGCCCGATGGCTCCAATAATGGAATTAGCCAGCTAGCCGGATGAAAGCAGATTTGAACGAAGCTAAAAACGTGGGGAGCAGTTCCCTATTTCTTTGGCTAAACGGATGCAAATAAGGCTGGCACAATAATTATCATAAACAGGGAGGATTACTATCCATGTAACGCACGATCTGTTAGAAAACGAATACTACATATAGCGTATGCAGGCTATTCTCAAGGGAATAATTTTGACATTCTTGAAGAAACTAATTTTCATTTGCTCACCACTGAAAGGCACGATCAACTGAGATAATATACTTATTCCAACTTTACTATTCTGTATTAGAAGCTTAGTATTCCATCATGATTATTCATTCTTAGTTATAATATTACGTATTACTCTTATTAATTCGGCCCTTATTTGATTCTTCATTGCTTGATTCCCATTTCAATTATATACTTTAGATTAGTTTATTTTCTGCTAAAACAAGATACATCATACAAACATTTTCACGACAAGCAAAGTTTGTACTTGATTCGCCCCCTATACACACATGACAAGCAAAGTTTGTACTTGATTCGCCCCCTATACACACATATAACACATTGGGCACTTAAATTATCGTGCAACCCGCGTGTAAAAACTGTCTTTAAAAAAATAGTAGTAGCACGATCAAAGGTAGCACCTTGCAACTTGCATTAGTTGCATAGTGCACGGGCCGACTGTAAAGCCAAATGTATGCGCCTGCCCGTCCTCGCCGAGGTTCCCTGAAATGCCGTCTATCGTGACTGGAATCTACCAGACAAACCCTAGCCCCACTGGGATGGCGAAGCCTCAGCCTTCTTACTCTTCAGCGACTTCGGCCTTGATCCGGAAGCGGCGCTGGCATTTGGTGATTGCTCTCCTTGTCATGCTCTCCATCACCACAGCCATTGCCTTTCTAATCAGAGGCGGGATCGACTCCTCCTGCAATTGCAGCAGATTGGTGGATTCTGGGAAGATTTATGGTGCTAATGTGGAAATTTCCAAGCAGGTTGGACCTGCTGGGACTCGTAGGAGCCCGCTCAGTTTCATGAAGTCGAAGCTCGTGCTCCTGGTTTCTCATGAACTCTCTCTTTCAGGTACTCCATGCCCCCCCCCCCCCCCTCCCGGTGTTTGGGGATATTAGACAAAGTTTTTCCTTTAGGATGTGCCAAGAAATATTTTTATTTTGACCTTACTATTTTGGTCAAAAAATGTGACCTCCCATTTTCTCTGAGATGGTGATCAAGGGATTTGTGCTTGGTCATGTTGTGGCTCTCAAAAAGATAGTTTGAGGGAAGAAGTGAAAGAAAAATGGTAAATATTGGGCACATAACTGGAGTAGCTCAGGAATGAACAAGACCGAGAACCTAAGGGCCTGTTTACTAACAGAGATATTTTCTTGTTTTCTACTTCTGTTTTTCGTTCTCCAATTTTCTGTTTTTATTTTTCAGTTTTTCTATCTCCAATTTTCTGTTTCTAATTTTTTTTCCATTTTCAAATCTTAAAACATGTTCATCAATTTTTTCATACAGTTCTCCAATTCCACACCCTTGAATCCTACCCATACCCTTAACACGATCTTACACTCTACCCATACTCCCCCACAACCCTTCATACCCACCCATACCTACTCGTAGGGGTCGGGGTAGGGAAGTTATGGGTGGGGGTGGGGTAAGGGGTATGGTCGGGGTGGGGTGGCAAGGTCTAGGGGTAGGGGGTTGGGTGGGGGTAGTGGGTGGGTTAGGGTCGTGGTTAGGGGTAAGGGTGGGGTAGTGGGTAGGGTTGGGGTAAGGTAGGGAGTTGGGATAGGATGGCGGTAGAGTGGGGCCGGGACCAGGGTGGGGCCGAGGTAAGGAAGGGGTTAGGGTGAGGGGTAGGATGACGGTTAAGGGTGGGGGGTAGTGGGGAGGGTTGGGGTAAGGTAGGGGTAGGGTAGAGAGTTGGAATAAGATGGCGGTAGGGTGGGCCCGGGATCCGGTTTGGGTCGAGGCAGGGGAAGGGTAGGGTGGGGGTAGGATGGTGGTAGGGTGGGGCCGAGGTAGGGGGCATGTGGTAAGGGGTAAGGGGTAATATACGGGTGGGGGTAGGGTAGGGTGGGTCGGGGTGGGGTCAAGGTGGTAGGGGGGTGGCGGTATGGTAGGGTGGATCGGGGTGGGGCCGAGGTAGGGGCATGTGGTAGGGGGTGGGGTAGGGTCATTATAGGGAAAAATGGGTTACGCGGGGTGGGGTTGGGTGGGTAGGGTAGGGGTAAGGGGTAAGGTACGAGGATGGAGGTACTGGAATGGAATCAACATCGGAGCGGGACCGGACCCACTACTAGGTGTAAGTATGCAAATTCATTGCAGCGGCACTGTAGCATTTGCGTTTTTCAAATTTGGAAAACTAGTAAAAGTCACTTTTCCAAATCATTAAGGAAAATAGAGACATGTCTCATTTTTTCCGTTTTGGAAAACGGTTTGGTAAACACGTTTTTCTATTTTCCTTTCTCCAGATTTTGAGCAATTTATTTGGTAAACACGTTCCCTGTTTTCTGTTTTCCAGTTTTCCCAGAAAATATCTCTGTTAGTAAACAGGCCCTAAGGTTTTAAGAAGCTGGATTTTGCAGTTAGTAGAGTATAAATACTATGATGAACGAGAAAATAAAGTCCAAAGATTCACGTCGTGAATGTTTAAGTCATTCTTTGATTATTTTTTTTGAGCTTGTCTATCTTCTCTTTCCCAATTTGATGGAACCTTAAATTGTACTTAAGGCATTGTGGTGTAGCGGTGGCCCGTGGGACACCTCTCCTCCTTGCACGAGGTCACCCGTTTGATTTGTAGCGGTAATAATCAACACACAACTCGTCAAGAGTCCATATGATCTTACATAATCACTTAGTTTCATATTAATGGAGAAGAATGAAAAACACATGTTGATCACATGGACATATTCCTCATAGAGTCGACCAATGATATTAATAGCGGCGCTATAGTGGTGGTGCGGAGCGGCAGACATAGAAGGCGCTACGTGGAGGGCTGTACCGTGGTGTTTGGGTGTAGCGGCCATAACGCCCGCTATCGCAGTGGTGCAGAGAAGGTGATGGCGGCCGCTATAGCGGCGAGTTTTATGGTAAACAGGGTACTGCACATTCTGGGAGGGATTTTTGGCATTTAATTTTTTAGTGCAGAGATAGAAGGGGTAAACTAGACTTTTAAAACAAAATATTAACCCACTTAAAACCCTTACACGTACGTTAAAGGCTACTAACAGCTCAAATCGAAGCCAGCTTTTGAAAATACTCATTTGAACCTCTATGATGACATCTTCTCCAAGAACGACGATCATCTCTTTCTGCTGCTCTGCGATGGTTTCTTCTCCAAGAATGACACATGCTGCCCTCCTCTGCCTTCAATAGTATCTTCTGCTGCAACATCTTCTTCTCCAACTTTTGCTGCAGACCTGCAGTCTTCTTTTCTTCTTCTTCTCGTATGGAGTCTAGTCAGTCTACTCTTTTGTTTAAGCCCACAGGAGAACATCTTGACCCAGCTTGGAAGTGGAACAGTTTGAAAGATGCAAAAGACAAGAAAACTGTTACTTGTGATTTTTGTGGCAAAACTACTATATGAGGAATTACCAGAGCCAAAAGGCACCAAATCGGAATGAGAGGAGATGTTGGGTCCCGCTGGAAAACTCCAGCTGATGTTACAATTTTACTGAAAGAAGCATATGAGAAAAAAAGGGGAAAAGAAGCATACATGGAGTTGCAAGAAGATCGTGAAAGAATTATTGTATATAAGAATATGCTTTAGGAATATACTCTAGACATTATTATTGTATATCATCTTATGTAGGAATATTCCTTCTTTGTAACCTATATATAGGGCCTTAACCCTCTAATATTAAACACAGAAAATTCATCCATTCTCATTACTATTATATGCTTAATTCTGATAACATGGTATCAGAGCTTCCATTTCAGTTTAGTTCTTTTTCATTTAGATTTCAGCTTAGTTTTTCAGACTGGGTTCTTCCTCAAAGAAACCTGAGTTCAGTTCAGACTCTTCAGAACCTCTAGGCACCATTCTGTCTCCAAGAAACTCACTCCAGGACAGATTTTTTAGCCCCCTCTATTCAGAACCTTAGTCCAGATCATATACCCCATCTCTGCCAGGTCCAACAGTAGCAAGATCTTCTTCTCCAACTTATGCAAGTGCTTCACACGTGCATTGAGAGGCTTAGTGAAAATGGAAAAAATTGAAGATAAAATATCATGTGAGCTGAATGCTTATAAGAGAGCTGAAGGTCTCTTTGGGTTGGAGTTGGCAGTAAGGCAAAGCGATACTCTTGGTCCCGTCAAGTTAAGGCATATGATTCTTTTATTAATCACCCGCCCTAATAGAATGTTTAATGTTTACTTGCATTTAAAGGTGAATGGTGGAGGGACTATGGATCACATACACCAAATCTTCAAAAGCTTGCCATAAAGATCTTAAGTTTGACTTGTAGCTCTTTGGGATATGAGCGCAATTGGAGTGCATTTGAGCATGTACGTTATTATTACATGTCTTACAAGTTCAATCAACAAACATATTGTGTACTGTTTTCAACAAATTGGAGTTTGGACTAACAATGTTTTTTTTTTTAATATAAATTTGTAGCATAGATTCATTTAAAGAAGAGATAAGCTTGAGCATCAAAGGTTGCAAGATTTGGTTTATATTAAATATAACCAAGATCTTAAGGAGCGATTTGATATCTTAAGGAGCGATTTGATAGCCGTGATTTGATTGATCCAAAAAATCAATCATCATTTACCCCAGTGCCGCAACGGCTCCCACCTACGGTGGGGTAAGGGGGGGTCGGATGTACGCAGTCGTACCCCTGTACTAAAGCACAGAGAGACTGTTTCCGGGTGACCCATAATGAAAATCGCGTCCAAAATTGCATGGACTGACTGCTGCTTCATAACAAAGAAGAGCAGACAGTTTGGTGAGCCATTTTGCTTGATTCCATCATATTCTCAAGTCAAAAAATAATGAATCTTTGGCTCCATTGCAAATGATGAAAATTCGTGATTTGATTGATCCAATTCACCTAAATGATATTGATGGTAACAATGAGTGGTTAGTGGGAGTAATGGGGAGAGATGGAGAGGATGCCGAGGATGATTTGGTTTTTGATGATGACACCAACTTTACTTGGGAAGATGTTGCTGACCTAACTGGTGTGTGTGAGCCTTTGATAAACACTAGGCAGCAAAGCAGTACAAGCTCTAGAGGGCCTGCAAGCTCTAGAGGGGCTACAAGCTCTAGAGGGAGGGGGCTCTCAATAGAAGTTATAGAGCATGTTGAAGTGGCAGAGCAGACAAATGTGGAGGAAGAAATTTATGATTGCAGTAGTAGTGAAAATGACAATGAAGATGAGATAGAGTTGGAAGAAGAAGAACAATTGGATTTTCAGTAAAGCAAGCATTTAAGTGTTATGTTATACCTATGATGAATTTATTACACACCATCCACCGTGGGATTGCACTCCCGCATATATTTGATTTTATCACAGCCTCCGGATAAATGTATATATAATCCTAACCAGTAAACATATGATAAAACTGAAATGAATCAGGTAACGAGATGTTGGGTTGTTGCACATTGTGTATATCAGTATATGAGTACTGATTTCCTGCACTATAGTTGGGGTTAGTGGAGAGTTTTGTAGATCACAAATTCACAATTCATATATACAAAAGAGGGAGATGTGCTTGAACTGGATCTTTTATGGCATTACTTGATTGGTGGACACTATTGTTTTTAGTTGAGACTAAATATATCCTGGTATAAAATTATTTAATAAATTCACTTTAATATGGGTCGACCTTCGTGTTGACTTTAGATTTGGGTGACACTCTTTTCCATCTCATGTACAGGCTTGACCCGCCTAAACTCATACCCTTCACCGTCAGGTCTGTTAAACTCGAGGTAGTTGAATGTGAGCTCTTGGATTAAGATGGGCTGCAGCAGTTGCCATATCATTAATAACTTAATATTGTTAAGTGCCAAGGTGCAAGATATCGCCGAAGACCTCTGTGGAGATGTTAGAAGAGGAAGATGGGAATCTATGGTAGTTTTGGGTTATTAACCTAGTCTTCTTGCCGGAGGCAGAGAAAGAAGGCACATGGCTCTAATGACCCTTATAATCTTATATAGCTATCACAAGTCTTAAATCCGAACAAAAAAGGAGATTTAAAGACATAATTATAGACCGGATTCAAGACTATTTTTATAAAGTTGAAGAATAATACAAAAGTTATTAGGAAAACAAGAAACAAGGCAACACGTTCTGTTTGCTGAGCCCCTCCATTACTTCACACGGGGGTGATACTTTTGGCACACGGATGGGTCCATAACATTAGTCGCTCATTGTCGAGTAAACATTCTCATGCTCCAGATTAGGAAATGCATCACGGAAAGCGGTGAAATCCTACCAACAAGCCTTTTTTACCATCTTGGCAGCCCAATGAACCAAGAGCTCTGGCAACCGAATTACTTTTAAGGGTTGTAGACTTGTAGCACAACCATTGGTATAATGGTGGCAAAGTAATGATAGTAAACTGAACCAACCCTTTGTGTGATAGTGTGATTTGAGAAGGGACACGCGGTAGAAATCATGGAACACTATCCAAGGGAAGACTATACAGTTAGCTGTGGAACCAATGCAGGTCGATAGCAGTTTGTGATGGCGATGAACCAATGAGAGCTATTTGTAAGGGTGAATCCATAGCCATACCTAATTCTCAGCCATACCGGAGCTTGATCGAGGCATGCACTTGGAGTAGGTGAGGTTTGTCTGTGTTGAGGACTCCATCTTGGTCTATGAGCTCACGTTTGACTACTCCGAGTTTGTTTGACCCAATGATGCAAGATTTGATATGGGCGGGAATCGCCTATACTCAAGATGGAAAAGAGTGTCACCCAAGATGGTGTGATAAGATGTAATACTCCCGTTCAATAAAGAACCTACTAGTTTGGATAGCACGCACTAAGGAAATAAAAGCTTTTTTACTTCCTTAATTGGTATTTTTAGCGAGGGTCAATTTGAACATAGAGTACACTGTTTAACGTTGTTTGAGGATAGTAGAGTAAATTGGTACCAAATAAGAACTTCTTTACCAAATATGGAAAGAGGACTTCATTTACGGACATCCCGAAAAGGAACACATAAAGTTTCTTAAGGACGAAGGGAGTATAAGTTGTATAACATTACTCCTCCCACAGTATTGAACAATCCAATCTCTGAATAAACTCACTTGTTGATAGAATGATGGTAGAATACAACTCAGAACAATAGTAAAACTAAGAACAATTGATTAAGAAAGAGATCAAGATGATGTTTATTGATGAAGGAAGTATGTACAGACGTATAAAGTGTATACGACCATTCAAGATGCCCAATCTCGTAGCCTAGTCAAAACCAACTGAATACTTGCCTACCTATTTTCCTCCCCTCCCCTTCTATTTATACTACTACATGTACACTTACTATTATTATTTCTTATTATTAGCCTACTAAGCCAGATTCCTATCAATACTCTCCCCCTAAACAACCACCTTGTCCTCAAGGTGGGTGATATGAATCAGCCATGATCTTCCACTTCCACTTCATTCTTGCACCTCTCCCTTCCCAATACCTCCCAGATTGCTTGGCCATGACCTTCATTATTTGACCTTTCATCTTCATTTCTTTCACAGCAAAGAGGAGCAGAAGCTGGAGATGAAAATTCCCTGGAAGTACGTTGTCAAAGAATACTTCTTTCACCCATTTCTGCATTGTTCCTATCCCCATTTCCACTTTGACCAAGCTTCTGACATGAAATTGAATGAGGTCCTACATGTTTTACATGATAACCAAACCTTGAAGCCTCTTCATTGTAATCAATATCATCATATAAAGGTTCTGCAAGATGAAATCCAGCTGCCCTTGTAGTAACTTCAGCTGCTACATCACCATGCTTGAGAAGAGCATTGTGGCATTTACTGGCAACAATTATGTTGATGTGAATTTCAGAAAAGGTTTGTAAGAGTAGTGAGATTAATCCTTCACTAGATAAACCTGATTTATGAAAATTCAGCTCATGCACTCCTGTAGATTCCACATATAGGTGTTGAGATTCCTCTTTTATTTCCATTTTCACAAGATACCCATCTGTTGCTGCAAGTACAGTATCCACTTCATGATTATAAACTATTTTATCCATGTACCCTTTTTGCACAATTGGTAATCCTGTAAGATTGTTGGTCCCAACCTTGATATTGGCAAAACTTTTATCCCAGTCCCTTCTATCATCCTCAAAAAGTATTCCTAAAGAATTTCTGACCACATCCTTTTCTTTTCTAGGAATGACTTTTGTAAACACGAATTCACTGCTCTCATTTGTCAAATGATTCATTTTCCTATTATCCTTGTGTTTTCCTTCTATTAGTACGAGAGTCAGAGAAGCAAAAGAACTTGGAACGTTTCCTACCAGCCCAACAACCACATGAATAGAAACCTGAACAACAGATGATATTCGCGTTCGTCGTATGGATTCAGTTTCTTGATTACAGATTCAGCTCCATCGGCTACTGTAATTTGCTCCTCGAGTTCTTCTTCCGGATTTGTTTCCTTGATTACAAATTTCGTTGGCTTCAACTTGGAAGAGAAGATGTGTGCAGGGTTAGAAACTTCTTGCGACAAAAATTGCGAACAAGAAGATTCTTCTCTGGATAGCATCGCATTCTGACGCGAGTGAATAGCAGATGGGAACGCTTGTGGACTGAGATCAGCTGTGGCTGCGAACTGAAAGAAACAATTCGCGATTGTGATCTGGGAGCTTCATACCGCGATTGTGTCTTACGTGAACTGGAAGACGTTGGCGAAGACTTCTGCGAACTGAGAGAAGTTCTTGTCGATGATTCCTGGTTCTCTGTCTTCCGATTGCGTGTAGGTTGGAAACGCCGTGTTATGGCTTCCTTCAGAGCCTCTCAACTCTTCTCTCTCGTTTGAGTTTCCCACCATGGAAACCAGGCTAACGCTCTCTCCTCCATCGCACCTACCGCTACTTCCACTTTATATTTTTCCGCAGTAGCCTTGAGACGGAAATACTCTTCCATCCTAACAATCCAACTATCCGTATCATCCCCGTTAAACATCGGTAAATCAACCTTTATTCCCGTACGAACAAGTCCTCTACTGTTATCGTGATCCTCACTAGAGCGAGAATGATCGGAATTTCTCGCGTCTCCCAGATGAGAAGTGCGATGCGAGCTGCGCAGAGTGAGCGATTGATTCCTCGATCGATTATGGTTGCTGTTCATCTTCACGAGTGTCTCCTGTATTGTCGCCAAGGTCATCCTAATTTTCTCCATCGGTTTCTCCATTCTTGCTCTCGTACAGATCTTCCACAACTGAAACGGAAATTTTATGGTATTGTGCCTATAGTTCTGAACACCAGAAACGATTGCTCTGATACCAATGATAGAACACTGGTAGAATACGACTCAGAAAAATAGCAAAACTAAGAACAATTGATCAAGAAAGAGATCAAGATGATGTTTATTGATGAAGGAAGCATGTACAGACGTATAAAGTGTATAGGACCATTTGAGATGCCCAATCTCCTAGCCTAGTAAAAACCAACTGAATACCTACCTACCTATTTTCCTCCTATCCCCTTCTATTTATACTACTACATGTACACTTACTATTATTATTATTTCTTATTATTAGCCTACTAAGCCAGATTCCTATCACTTGTCAAACTGCACAAGAACGTGTCCACTGTCTTATTCACCACCTCAGTATGGTCATTCACTTGTGGGTATGTGTGGAATAGATCACCAATTTTGTTCCAATTACGAAACGGCTCCTGCCAATAGGAGTTCTCAAAGACCTTATGCTGATATGAAACAATAGACTCTGGTCACCTATGGAAGCAAAGACGAGAAGAAAATAGCAGCCACCAACAAATGAACAGCCTTGACCTGCAAATTCACGACCTCAAAAATGACCATAGAGCCTTTTAATGAAGTTCATAGAGATTTCGCCACACTATGCTATAGAACAAGTAGCAGCTAAAGTAAGCCGCCGGATTGGAGGTCGAGTCACTTTTGTTGCTGGCAGTTATGGCAATCCTGGACAAGTTTGAGGGCGGTGTGCTTCATTCATGCCAGAGAATCTGACAGGGACACAACAGTAAAGAACTGTATCAAGGAGATCGTCTGCAAAAAGAAAAAAGCAAGCGATACCGGACTGCCAAGTTGGCGTCAAGAGTTATGACCCCGGCCCCATATCGGTAGCTCAAGTCCGTGACCTTGGTTGCCTTTCCTTGTATAATGTCATCAAGGAGAGTAGGGTAGTGTTTTGATAGTGCAGCAAACATGTCTTGTTATTTGTTATTTTCATACTTTTTTTCTATTTGCATACAGGTGGGCCTCTCTTGTTGATGGAGATGGCTTTTCTGTTGAGAGGTGTTGGTGCTGAAGTCTGTTGGATCACAAATCAAAGACCAGCTGAAGCAGATAATGTCATATACAGTTTGGAACATAAATTGCTTGACCGAGGAGTACAGGTAATAAACTGTTGATGCTGAAGTGCTAGACCAACTGTGGGGGAAGAGTAATACTAAACTGTTTCTTCCGTTAATAGCCATATCATTTATTTAAGTTCCTTTCCTTTCCTTTGATTTAGCATCCTCATTGGGAAAAACAAGTTGCCTGCACATAAAATTTATACGGTGTTTTTTATTTGACTTCACTATTCTACTCCTGGAAATAATAATTTACTTTTATGGTGGTCAATCAGGAAGGAACTTATGTATATTGAAAGTAAATATTGAATCCGTAATGCTATCCGTGGGCTTTACTACCGTGTATTATGATATCAATTATTCTGCTGAGAATTGGATCTCCTTCCTCTAGGTTCTCCCTGCAAAGGGTCAAGAAGCAAAAGACACTGCTCTAAAAGCTGACTTGGTTGTTTTAAACACCGCAGTTGCTGGAAAGTGGCTAGATGCTGTTCTCATGGACAATATTCCTCGTGTCCTCCCCAAAGTTCTATGGTGGATCCATGAAATGCGAGGGCACTACTTCAAGCTGGACTATGTAAAGCATCTTCCGTCTGTTGCTGGTGCAATGATTGATTCACATGTAACAGCAGACTACTGGAAGAATAGGACAGCAATGCGCTTAAGGTATGCTTCTAATGCCTTTCTCAACCTATAGTTATGATCAATTTTACATGCTTTTATAATTTTTGATTACTGTTCTTTACTTCAGTTTGTAATGAAGCTCCAATCCTAGATTATTTGTTACATGTAAAACAAAGCTTAACGGTAGATACAAATTTAGCTACAAAAACAGTACTTCACTTGTTCCCAATTTCAATGGAATGATTGGGCGTGCAAATTTATTACAAGGGTAAGTGCCATTCCACAGGGGCTATAGAACTGCTGAATGAAGGGGGGAAAGGGTGGGGCACCTTCAAACTATAAATTGGAGGGACAGTCCTATTGCATACTGGGGTGCTCCTTTATTTCTTGTGCCGCAGTATTCTCCAAAGCTCAGTTTAGTGTCCAACTTTTATCTAGACAAAAACTATACAAAACTATAGAGGAAAATAGAACGTACATTTGAGTACTAATGTTGTATCATATAGCTATACTCTATTTCACACATTTTATCTGTACACTTAGAAGAATGTTGCTGATTGGAAAAAGAATTAAAATAATTAATCCAAATATTTTCTCTGTTCTTTCATAGTTGCAATAGTCTGATTTGTACACTATTCACATACTCTATTTTGACTACATTTTTATTATTAATATATTTACGAATTATATTATAAAAGCAATATAAAATCTGTCCCAAAGTAAATTCCATTTTTTTTTTATAATTTTACTAATAACAAATTAAATATATTAATGGTCAAAGTAATGCATTGGAAAACATGAAAATCAATGTGTTGCAGCTAAATAAGAACAAAGGTGGACACACAGCTCTTCTGAAGTACTCCGTAGTAGTCATTTTGAACATAGCTCGAGACAGTGGATTTAAGAATAGGTTGGCTACATTTCTAGGAATCAGTGGTTTTGAATTTTGGAAAAGCAAGCGTGTACGCTATTTACTAATCCCGATTCTGAAGCTGTTGATCTGCGTTGTTGCTTGACCTGCTTCACCCTTCGTCAATCATAGCCTCACAGGTGTGCAGGAAAACCTGTGTTCCTGCTTCTTTATCTGATAAAGTTTTACTGCTAAAGATTTCAATAATAGGCGGAAGTTTCAAGTTTCAATTGATTCATCTGTTTTAGTCACTAATACATGATTGCCAATATATTAATAAATTAGTTTCAAGTTTCATCCGCTTCACTCATACTATGCAGTGTCATGGTTTAATATTAATCTTAGTTAATAAATTATTTTCCATTTTTTTGATAATTGATATAGAAAGTTAATTCTACATATTATTTTAATTCTAATATTAATATTAATGTTAATATTATCTAATTTTTCTGTTAAAATGAAATTTGTTAATATTATCTTAATTATCTGTTAATATTCTTTGAAGTTAATATGAAATTATCTTAATATTCTTTGAAGTTAATATTCTGGAAATTTAATAGCATATATGTATTAGATACGAGGTTAATGTTATATTAATATTCTTAATATTCTTTATTTTTAATTGTGTTTATAAACACAACACACACATACACACAATATATGTATGCATGCATGCATGTATGTATGTATATATTTATAGGAAAGAGATCCTGTCCAGCTGTCCGGACAGGATCCTTCGTCAGGCCGCCTCCGTTTGGAGCGGTTCCTGGTGGATTTTTTTGATGATTTTTTTAACATGCTCTTCATGAAGTGTAGATTATGTCTAGGGATGGCAACGGGGCGGTTCGGGGACGGTTTTACATATAACCGTACCCGCCTCATTTGATAATTCCCCGCCCCATAACCGCCCCATCACCCAACGGGTATTTTTTCCCCAAACCGTATCCGCCCCAACGGGTAACGGGTATAACCATGGGTAACCGCGGGTAATCGCTTTATTAAATGAGTGATTGATATTTTAATATAAAAATAATATTTTAAAAGGCAAAAAATGGCATCACCTAGATGACTCTAGACTGAGACGCCACTTTAAAGTTTCGTATATCTACAAGACGAGAAAGAAGACAACATAAATTAATTTGAACCTAAAAATACTTAATCTGAAAAATAATTATTCACTAAAAAATATGATAATAATCGAGAGGGTGGAGGTGGAGAGAAGTTACGAAGATGGCGAATGTTACGGCGGTGGAGGGGGCGGCGCCTCCCTCTCCATCAGTTCAAAATGCTTGGGGCGCCAAATCGTTTGCATCGGTGGTGGCAAATGCGGCTCCTGATCTGCAATGGTCGAAGAAGGTTTCCTTTAGGCATAAAGGTATGCTCTCTCTATCATTCCCTGAGATCGAGGCTAAGGTTCTTGAAGAGAAGCATAAAAAAGCTTTGATTGGGTATTTCTTTAATGGTCGTCCGCCTATGGCCTCTCTTCGTAAAGCTTTCGAACTTACTGGCTTTAAAGGTTCCTTTTATTTGGGTATTCTGGATAGGAAGCATGTTTTGTTACGCTTTGATCACGAAGATGACTATATTCGGGTTTGGAATCGCCAAACGTGGGATATATTTGGAAATGTTATGAGGGTTACAAAGTGGACTCCAGAATTTAAGCCTAATGTGGAATCACCTATTGTTCCTATTTGGCTATCATTTGCTAATCTTCCTATTCATCTATTTGATAAGCGTGCACTATTCGATATTGCTGGATTAATTGGAAGGCCTCTGAAAATAGATGCGGCTACAGCTACTTTAGCTAAGCCTTCTGTTGCAAGAGTCTTTGTAGAAGTGGATGTCTCACAAGAATTGCCTAAGAAACTCTGGATCCAGTGTGGGTCGCTTGGATTCACACAGTCTGTTGAATATGAGAACAAGCCACTTTACTGCAATGGATGTTTACATTTGGGACACTCTGAGGCTTCATGTCCCAAAAAACCAACTCATAGCTCTCAGCCACCTGTGATTCAAAGGGCCGCGACTAATGTTTCTGAGGTTTGGGCTCCTAAATCTAAGCAGCCTGGTGTGAATACCTCTTTTACAAAGGGGACACAGGGGGATAAAATTACAACTGCTCAGCATACAATTACTAATGAAGTACAACCAAGGGGCACTATTGATACACTTAAAAGAAAGGATAAAGGTAAGGCTCAAGTGTTGTCTTCCATTCCATCTTCTTCCAAGGGCTATGAGTCGGATACAGATTCTGAGGAAGTTTACAATGAGACTCGGGCTCCTGTGGTTAATATGGGTAACAATGAAGTCATTTCTGTGGAAAGCCCTGAAGCTATCACCAATGTAGTCACAATGGCGGCTGAGGTGTTACCTGGGAAGAATGTAGACTCTGCAAAAGAACCTGAACCTGTGCTTGGAGAGATTCAACAACCATATAATCCTGCAAAAGATTCAGAGTTACAAGCATTATTGGAGAAGCAATTTCCTGGGCTGGAAAAGAGGCTGACTCATACTATCCAGGATGATTTTCAACTTAAAGCTGAAAAGTCTTTACTTGAATACGATTCTGAATTGGAATCTAAATTCATATATTCTGATGGAGAGTATAAAAGTAATAGACAACCACTGCAACATTGGGAGATCGGATGGAATGAGATAAGCAATGCAGTACAAGTCATGACACAGAAACTCCAAGCCCAAGGAGAATACTTACATGGTAGGGTAGTTCATCGCTTCATTGGAAGAAATGTTCAATCCGCAGAGAATTCAGAAGACTTCAGTCCAGTTCCTGGAAGAAAGCATAGGAAAAAGGTGAAGCAGAACATAAGTCCCAGGATTACAAGAAATGCAGCAAGAAAAATTAAGCCCAATGAGACTTCAGCTAATGGTGATCCTAGTATCATCAAAAAGCTGCCTTTTGCTTCTTCCAATGTTTTTTAATGAATTGTCTTATTTGGAATGCTAGAGGCTTGGAAGGTTCTCTATCCAGGCTTTGTTCTTTAATAAGACAGTACAATGTTAGAATTTTGTGTGTTATTGAACCTATTGTTAGTCACACAAGAGCAGATTATTTCATGAGGGAGTTAGGCTTTAAACAAGTTGTGCATTCAGATTTAAATAAGATTTGGATATTTTGGGATCCTGAAATCTTTACACTATCTGATATCACATGGCATTCACAACTGGTTCATTTTAAAGCTTCAGGGGAATTCTTTTCTGGCTGGTTGACAGCAATTTATGGTAGCCACAATATTACTACTAGGAGAGATATGTGGAATTTTCTATCTACCACTGCTGCTTTCATGAGTGAGCCTTGGATTATTGGGGGAGATTTCAATGCTATTGCTAGTCATAGTGAACACTATGGATCTGCTATACCTAATACTGACAGCATTTTAGAATTTTCTGATTGTATTGCTGCTGGTAGTTTTCTTGACTTGCCATATCAGGGCCCATTGTTTACCTGGACTGGTGTTAGAGCTAATGGCCGGGTTTGGAGAAGGCTTGATAGATTTCTGGTTAACACTAAATTGATTGAGTGCTTCGATGTTATTCAGATCAGTATTCTTGAAAGGACTCCATCAGATCACTGCCCTATCTTCATCCAATGTAGAAAAGATAGTTTTCAGGGACCTAAATCCTTCAAGTTTCAAAATATTTGGCTAACCCATCCAACTTTTTTGGATGTTGTGAAAAATAGTTGGCATAAGAATATGTTTGGGGGTGGCATGCGTGGGATGGTTTCTAAACTGAAATGTCTTAAGCAGGATCTTAAAGAATGGAACAAGGTTGTGTTTGGCAACATTTTTGATGATATCAAATTGTGTGAAGAGAAAGTTTCCCAGGCAGAAAAAGATTACTTAGAAGACCCAAGTGAACAAAAAAGAGAAGATTGGTCCCATTCTCAAGCTCTGCTTAAGGCCAAATATATTCTTGAGAGGAAATACTGGAAACAGAAAGCCCATATTCACTGGTTGAAGGATGGAGATACTAATTCTAAATTTTTCCATTCCTATGTTAAAGTTAGACATAAAAAACAGCAAATTCACTCAATTCATAATGGAGCAGGTGTTCTGGTTAATACTCTACCTGAAATAGGAGAGGCAGCTGTGTCCTATTTCTCAGATCTTTA